TGGCCAAGTATGGTGTCCCATACTCAGAATTTGTGCTCTGCATTTAACCCATCCAAGTGCACACACAGAGCAGTGAAGTGAAGTGAACACACACCCGGGAGCAGTGGGCAGTAGGGATGTAACAATTAACTGCGAGCCGGTTGAAAATCGATTCAAAAATTTGTCTTAAATCTCATTTTGTAAAAAATTTAATAAAATCGTGAATCGAATCGAATCGTGAAATCAAAATCGTGAATCGAATCGTGAGTTGAGTGAATCGTCACATCCCTAGTGGGCAGCCAATGCTGTGGCGCCCGGGGAGCAGTGCCTTGCTCAAAATTATACTTTTTAATTGGCCCCCTATAAACATTTATTATATTTAGAATGGACCAGTGAAAATGTACAAAGCACAGTGAGGTATAGATATGTATTTGCCATTAAATGTATTAATAGAGCATAAAATTAGAATCATTCATAAAACTAAGGTCACATTAGATGTTTATTCAAGCACTTGCTGAGTTATTAAATAAGCAGCACTTGGGGGAAGTGATACAGGCCACAGGAATTAATGTGACCTCCCAGAGCTGGCCCACTACCATGTCTAATGGATGACCCACAGTCAATTTTAATGCAATCCTTCTTTTCCCCCCTCCCTCCAGCTGCCTCTCTCTCCTTCATTTCTCTTCCCTTCCCTCCCTCTGGCTGCAGGTAACAGGAAGTTCAGTGAGGACATCACGGAGAGCAGACCTCAATGAATATTCAGGGTATGCGTGATGTGTGATTAGCATAATAGCACTTGAGTGTGCCATAGCTCAGTCAGAGGGGCGCTGGAGGAGTCAGCCAAACTTACAGCTGAACACAACCCACCCAACATGTGCTACCAGACTGAGAGTTTACGAGATACCCTTGCAAATCCCATGTATTCATTATTGCAAATCTTCATAAGAAGATGAATACACGAGAATATGAAGATTATTGGATAGTTCTGCTGTGGAGCAAAAAGAATAAAGCTATAGTAAATGTTCATTCAGTGTCTTTGACAGGGCAGATATTGAGGATCAAGCTAAGCAGGGACAACACATGGAGTGACATGGTGACTGGCTTAGTTAATTCCTGATAATCAAGTCCAGATCAAAAGTTTTAAAAGGAATTCCTCACCTAACCATGAAAATTTGCTGAAAATGTACTCAACCTTAGCCATCAAAGATGTACTGTAGTTGAGATTATTTCTTCATGGAAACAGACATTTGGAGAAATTTAACATTACATAACTTTCTCACCAATGGATCCTCTGCAGTGAATGGGTGCCGTCAGAATGAGAGTCCAAACAGCTGATAAAAACCACAAAAATAACAAGTAATCCGCACGACTCCAGTCCACCAATTAATGTCTTGTGAAATGATAAGTTGCGTGTCTGTAAGCAACAAATCCATCATTAAACTTTTTTTTTTTTACCTTAAAGGGGTCATATGATGCGATTTCAATTTTTCCTTTCTCTTTGGAGTGTTACAAGCTCTTGGTGCATAAAGAAGATCTGTAAAGTTGCAAAGACTAA